GAGACCTGTTTTTAACTTTCTTAATGAAGTTCTTAAATTACATCTTAAACAGAGGTTGACGTTGCTTGCATTCTAATTTTAAAAGTTTGTATTTGGTTTTCGTCCTTTTGCCCCATTTTGCTAGGCTATTCGCTAAGATTTAAACGCGGGTCGAATTACTAGTGTTCAGCGATTTTACTGTTCTCTCGCTGGTGGGCGCGAATCCTGAAAAAATGTTTGTGTTTGTTAAATAAATGCTTTATTTTTTTCGTTCTTTATTTTTGTTTAATCTATAGGAATTTAGAAGTTAATTTCAACATAATAGTTTTCATTTTGAGCGCGTTGTATCAATTGTATTCCTCCTATCCCCTCCTCCCGAATCAGTTTGAAGTTCAAATAGGTGCAGATTGCAATTTTTGCTAAAAAACTCAAGGAAGCCTCTTTAGCAAAACTTTAAAACTGCTGAAAATAAAGCAAAGCCCAGAAAATTGTGAATACTGTTTGCTCATTTAGAAGCACATACTGTTAAATACCTGTATGAACAGTTAAATCGATGTAATAAGAAAAGTTACATTTAAGTAAGCATCGAACAGTTAAATCGATGTAATAAGGAAAGTTACATTTGTTAAAAGAACAGTTAAATCGATGTAAGAACTTGAAAATCTGTGCAAATTTAACTATATTTGTATTGTTTTGACAGATTTTGAGATTTTAAAATTGTCATTGAAAGAAAAGTTGGAAACTTCGTTAGAGGCGATCAAAAACTCTGTTTGTAACCGCTCTTCTATAAACACAAACGCCAGCTATCTCTATAAGTATTCATTAACAAAGCACAGAAACAGTTGCAAAGAAAATGTACCCAAAACAGAACATAACCTAAAACGGACCACCTAACATTTAGAATTAATGTTCGAGTCACGGAGACATAATATTGGGGGAACCTATCCTCATCGCAGCTGGAGGTCAACTGCTGTAACTGTTGTTCTCGTTGCCACTAGCTAGCATTCTTACATCCAAAGAGTTCTGTCACATATTTAATCATCTTTTTTGTATTATATACAAAATATTAGCTGCCATTTTTTTCCTTTAACTGTCATGTATTTCTAGATGAGTTGGTTCATGCATATTTTTTTGGAGAAAAATAGTTTATGGTTAGGAGAACTTCTTCATTGTTAGTCTTGTTTGTCTTAACTCTATAGTTACGAACTATACCTATCTTTTACCTCAGTTTTGCTCACATTTCCTCAGAGATCTTACTGTTTAAGCGTGTATACGAGCCGGTTTCCCTTAGAAAGTCCTCCACGAATGCATCCCTCTCCTTAGGCAGATAGCCTTCAAGGCTTTGCCGTAATTAAATCACATCACCTAACCTACTGTTTAAGCAGATCATGGCATGAGAAACTGCATGTATTCCATAAGCAGTACCTACCCAATGTCTTATGATGTAGAAGGCTACCAGCAGACGAGAGGCTAAAACCGTAAAATACTGGTAGTTTTCACCAATTTCTGTTACCGGTGGTTGAAAGGACTTTTACATGGAGTTTTCACGGTTTCTTATCTGTAACTTGAATACTGGACAATTTCCCTTGGAAAGGTCCCCGCAAAAGCATTCGTACCTTTATTCCTAGAGTACTTTGCCCGTATTAAATAATCAAGTACAACTACTCGTGGCTTGGCCCACCAGAGGTCGAGGGATAGTTCGACCTGGGCTCAGTTCCAGGCAAATGGGCTGACTGCATGGGAATTTTCAAAGTTTAATCATGCATTATGAAGTTTTTTTTTCATAATTATGAAACATTCATGCATTATGAAAAAAAAACTTCAAAATGCAGTTTGCACAGGTTGCAACGCTTTAAAATCAACGAAACCTCTTATAGCGACTATCTTTCATAGACAATCGTTTCTGAAAGTGATCATTATTTTATACAAAACAAAAGAAATCTGGTACTGAACATCATCTTTACAAGAGGACCATCCCTCTAGAAAACCCAAAACGGCTTTAATTATAAATGTTCTTCTTGGGGAGATTTAACTGTGCTAATTCTCTTTTTGTTCTTTGCTTAAACTTTTGCAGCTATTATAGCTATATTTATGAATTCAATGTCCGAAATTAACATCGGTGTCCTGAAAGCAATCTTGACATTTATGTACTCCGTCTAAAATGGCAACATATAATTCAAATTATATTTGATCATACGTGTGTGTACAATAATTAAAAACGTTCTACACGTTAATAAGACATTTTCGTAATCTTGATGCTTCCCAAATCTCCCAGTTTTTGCTTAATCCTGCAGATTTGCGCTGAACTATTAAATTTGAAAAATGAAATGTGATGGAAGTAACTGTTAAATAGTAAATAGAAGTTCTAATCATAAATTGAATTCTAATCGAGCGAATCAGTTGCTAATTGTAAACGTGGTACTAAACAGGAGAGTTACCTTGCTAGTTTTTATGCTAGGGGGTGCTTCAATCACTCACTCAGTAAATAAATTAATCAGTGCAGATATTCTCATAAAAATAAATAGAGGAAGAACTACTTGAGACTAATGGCCTGAAGGCAACTCATTTTGTGAAAATTCGTAAAATTATAGATCTGCTCTGTTAACTAACGCAGTGAGTACCCGGCTGCACAATCCTTTCTCGATGGTTCTGCTTCGTATGCTTTTAATTTGCCGCACAAGAAGTTTAAACTTCGGTGATAATTTATCTTGCAGGAAATAAGCATGGGGTAGCTGAACTAACTTTCTTTCCATATGAACCGCTTTGTTCTCAAATGATGCAAGGCCGTATTGACAAGATTTGGGTAAACTAAGGTTTATGGTTTGGTTCCTATGATGTTCACTGTAATTGGTGCAATTTGATGCTTCTTGCAATATATTTTTAAAACTGGATTTACGTACCTTTTCTAGCTATCGAAATTAACTATATATAACTTGTAAGATTCTAGCTAAATTAAAGTTCCTTTCTGTGGCTACTTGAACTGTGAAGCGACTATTCACCAAGTTCAGCTGTAGAAGTAACTACACAGGGTAAGGGTAAAAAGACCTTTTTATTCAACTTAAGAACAAATATGTACAAATGCCACTCTTGGTGCTTACAGGTCTTCACCAATACTTTTGGCGACAACTCAAAATAGAAAACGTAAAATTAAAACTAACCTATCAGCCGAAGCTGCGCAGAAATATCTAAACGCGTAGTTGTCTCTTAGCTATACCACCGGCGTAGGCTAACCGGAAATTAATATGCATAGCGTTAAAACAGAAAGCTTAAATAGCAGAGAAACCACGAGGCCGAAAGGAACGCTTTCTGTCTGAAGTAACTCAGACACCAGTTTAAATAGCAGGCTCCTTAATTTTCAGAATGCACGAAACTGAAATCTCATTCTGGCAAGAGAGTGTAAGTTGAAATAAGATGTACAGGAAAGTTTGCTTCTAAAATAAAATTAAATAAAGCCCCACAAACTTATGATGTTGGATTCTTATGACGTTGGTCTAAACTCTGAAAAACTAGATTTAAAGCATTTAGGAGTCAAGGGCCATATATATGTTGATTGCTTTTGTGAAGCAATTATTGCTTATCTCTTGCATTTAGGTATAAGGGTGTATTATGTTTTTATATTGCTGTCGTTTCATTATCTGAAACTCTTGCATAGCTTAGAAAATTTCATGTCCAACAGTAGACAAGTATCTTTTGTAGTTATTGCTTTTGCAAACAAAATTTGACTTGCATATGTAAAGCTGAATAAAAGGTACTTTGCTTGTCACTCTAAGAGGCGCTACATCTTTTAAAATGAAACACGTTTCAAAGTGATCGTAAGTATGGTGCTGAATGGGTGCTCTCCCATCGTCTTTGCTCAGTTTACCGATTGCTGTTAATGACATTCTAATAACGTCGCTTAACTTAGCCTAATATCGTTTCAAAAGTATATGACACTTGAATTTTCTCCTTCCATAGTACATCTAGTTAGTAGTAATACATAATTATTTGTTCCGCATATTGTTATTTTTCAGCGTTAAGTCTATAGTTCATTGTGAAACATGTTTTTGATCTTTCCAAAATTACTTATTTAGGGGTGGTAGTTATCTGCCCTGACAGTTTTCCATAATTTTACAAAATGTTTGCCGTAAGCTTAAATGTGACAACAGTGTTCACGTTTCGATTAAAGTGAACTCTGACGAACAAACCAGGGCTATTGTTGCAATGGCTTTTCCGTGTCTGAAGCTGTCTTCCATGCAACCCAATCTCTAATTTCACTACTTCACTATGTACGCAGTTTTCTCTTGCAGCACCACTGCTACCGAGTTTGTCTACGGAAGCTAACTGATGCATGCTTATGAGCGGTTACCAGTTAGCATATCCATGTAAATGACTCATGACAAAACTCTACGAGGTCGAGAAAGATTACTTTTGCGATGTCACAAATCAGATGTGAGAACAATAAAAAATATCCGAAGCAAAGTTTTATTTGAGATTTTGTATCTTCTACTGCTAAAGATTTCGCGATATATAATGAAATCTGCTTCGTTGCAATTGACGCCACAAGCGATCTAGTTGATGAAACAATTGATTATTTTGTAATTCTCCCGAATTCGATTCTGCTTGAAAGAGCAGGCTTGGGAGGAGGACTTTCATGGTTTCTAAATATAAGCATACATCCCTTGAAACGTCCTTCATGAAATTCAAAAGAACAAAATGGTGAAATTTCGAATTATTTTTGGAATTATATATTCTAAATGTTATAAAATTAATTTTACAACTTAATATAAAATTTCATACGGGATTACTTCCGGTATTTGGAAAAATATTATAACGTGTTTTTAAATTTACGAACATTTGTAGCCTGCATAGGATACTCGAAGCACGCGTTGCCAGCTGTCATGGATTAATATTAAAGCTGTCATTAAAGGTCAGCTGTCATACAGAATGTATATCGGGTATTTCAATTTTTGTATATTCTTTGTGAAGTACCTTTGCATTGAAATGATCATTATCTTACATCAATTCCTTATATCTTTGTTTAGGTGCTGCTTGCTGAGTTGAAGGGACATGATATGTATTTTGCCATTAAATGCCTGAAAAAAGATGTTGTTTTGGAAGACGATGATGTAGAAAGTACTATGATAGAAAGGCGAGTTCTTGCTTTGGGTACTCAACATCCTTACATGTGCAAATTGTATTGTACTTTTCAAACTAAGGTAAAACTTAGAAACTAAATACTTTATATGTGTTTTAAAAATTAATACTTCTGCTTGCTGCAATTTAATTTACTTTTTCTTTCAGAGTTATCTGTTCTTTGTTATGGAATATTTAAATGGAGGTGATCTGATGTTTCATATACAGCAAAGTAAAAAGTTTCCTGAGCAAAGAGCCATGTAATTATGCTTATTTTTATATGTATAGTGTAGGAGGTTTTTTTTTTTTTTTTTTTTTTTTTTAATCGAAAGCTTTTTTTCTAATGGATGAAATTCTAATCTGTTTGAATTATTTTCTGATCATTCTTGTACGTATACAAAATAATTCTGTGTATGCATATGCAGAAATGATGCGTTTACGAATTTGTTAACAAGTAAAGCGCCGTTTACAAGTCTGTCAAGTGACTGTTAAATAAAAGACATAATAATCTTAATTTTAGTTAAAGATGTAATATAGAACTAATGTATTTCATATGCAGAATTTTAATGCTACAACTATGTTATTGCAATTTTACAAATTTATTTTAGTCATCCAGTTCTTAATTTGCTTGAATTGCTATTTATATTTTAAAATAATTAAATATATTTTATCCTTAAATCATAAGAAATCAGATCATTTAACATTTGATATAAAAACAAAATGATTATGCCTTTATTTAAAATCACATTTTAAATAAGTAGAATTTTTCTAAGAAGATTTTAGGGGAAATTCGGATTCTAATATTTTCAGTGAAAAATATATTCAAATATTTTGTCTGACCTTAATCAAAGCAATATGGGTTTCAGTTGTTAAAAAGTTTTGTCACTAATATTATGACCAACAAAAACATTTTTGAGTATGTCAGCGTGTTGAATTCCATCTTGGAAAAGAAGATTGAAGTTATCAATTTTCGTGTCTATCCCGCTATTTAAATGTTTTTCCAAAATCTATTTTCAATCAGTTCATCGTTACACTGATAACACAATTTACGTATTCTATTAAAAAGGCTGTTCCTAGAAGCTTCCAGTACTCTTTATCTGTAATCACTTTCGTTGTTAGCGGTTTTGCTTGATCCCGGCTTTAAAAACGCTTTCTTAATAGCGTAGTTTTTAATTTTTGGATTTTGTTTGAGTCCGAGTCAGAGAGATAATAACCTTAAGTATGTTAATCTTTATCTAAGTACTTCCTACAGTAATATTCTAAGAAGCGCATTAAATTAATTTATTCTTCTAGAACATTTATATCACTTTGAATTCTTGACTCTGCCCATGGCTAAGAGTGCTGTGAATCCATGTAGTTTTCAGCTGTGATAGGGAATAACTGTTACATTTTTCATAACTCGGTCTGTTGGGAATGGATCCGTACACTGAACCTCGAAAAGTGAAATTTTACGATTTTTGACTCTCGTCACTTTTGTCTATTTTCTTGAACCATTATGAAAAAAATTCACCATTGCATACTCTTATTTCCGCTTCAGGCAATAATGATAGGATTTTAACACATTTGAAATATCATGTTGGCCAAATAGATAAACTTGTCTGGACATGACAAAAGTGTGATTTATTTTTTTGTAACTAGAAGCATCATCATTACTGTTCCTTTCTATTTTGTTAATCATATATTCTTGCATTTTTTAAATATAAAATTAAAATTTATATTTAAAAAAATACAAGAATATATGATTGACAAAATAGAAAGGAACAGTATAATTTAAATAATTGAGTTTTAACTTTTAATGAGAAACCATTTGTTTTGTAGACACTTTAACAGCAAGTCAAGTTGAAAAAAAAATTAAAAGGCAAACAGAACTTGAGTTAAAACGTGCTATCAAATTGTCCAGAAACAAAGTTGCTCCTATTAGCAAACCTGTTGATCAGCAGACTTCCAAACGATCCTCTCCGATTTATTCACCAAATGGATATAAATCCCTGTATCAATTTTAGATGTCCTACGGCTTTGTTCTTCCTCTTAACCGCACATATAACTTTCGAATGAAAGAAAAAAGTACGATTTAAGCAGGGGATAGCAACGTTAATTGATAAGAAAGATCAAAAGGAAAAACGGTATATACCAGACATTAAGCGTAAGTAAAATTAAATAAATGAATAGGACTAACTCAGGACAGGGAGAAAATGATAGATAAATATAAATGATGTATAAAGGAGAAACTTATAAACGGTGCTTCACTGTATATGCCATGTATAATCATTTAAAATAAGCGATACATATTATTGCTTAGCTGATAATTTAGTTTTATTAATTTTTAACTTCTATAGTTTTCACTCTATAAATACTGAAATAAGGCATAAATTTATTTAAGGTCTTTCAATGAAATAATTAGCTGTTTATTTTGCTTATATTTATTCAAATCATTCGCAGCTTGTTTTATAATATTCAAATTATAGTAATTTCCCTTGATATGAATTTAAAAAACGTGAAGTGACTTATTGAAGTAACCTTACACTGTTCATAAAAGGTATATACAGGCTTTATTCCCTTAAGTTTGTGTCTCGTTTTTGTAAATCCATTGTACTTTAGCATTTGAAAAATGAAATATTATGCATAGAGAGTTTGAGAAAGGGGCCCCCTTTATTTCCTTGAATATTAATCTTAGACATGTATTTAGTTGCTAAAGTTTTTCTCAAATTAAGTGGAGAACTTAAGAAAATAGTTTCAACACTGCGTGTAAAAGGGTTCTGCAAATGAAAAATGTAAGCTTTTGTACGATCTCTGCGCAGAAAAATAGTGTAAAATTTCCAAACAGTAAACGGTTTCATTGTGTTTTATCAGTAAGTTAAATGCAAAAGATTTGATATCTTTACCGGCAGTGTTCAGATGTATGAGGAATTGATATGCTTATTTTCATAAAGAAAGCTAGAAATTTATTAACGAGTAATTTTTCTGTGAAACACAGAATGACCACAGCTAGCAACATTTGTTTTGCTGTTGCCTCTTAAATTGGGTTGAAAAATATTAAATTTGGGTTTGTAGTAGCTACTAAAATGGGATCTAAGTCAATTAGCAAATATCTCTAAATTTTGCATGTAAAAATGAGGATTATTTTTTTTTTCCTAGGAACTACTAACTGGAAATTTTACTACACAGAGACATTTATAAAAAGGTAGATTTTATATTTACAGAACCATCCCATATACCTCATTTTAATAAACTTCGTTTAAGTTAGGGACGTCATTCTTTTACAAAACTTGGGTTAAACCCTTAAGCAAAAACTATTTCTAGTATAGCCAAACTGCTCTTTATCTAATCTGGCAAAATGTGATACCGCTAGAAGGCTATTTAATTGTTTTTTAGTTTGGTTTCTCTGTATTTTTGGGTCAATGCATGAAATTAATTTTTGATTTCTTTCTATCGACCCGATTTTCCGGGAATTTTTCATACGTACTTTACAGTGCAATTTTCAATGAGAATAGTTATCAGAATTTCAAAGTTTAATTATTTAATGCTGAATTAGTCTCGTAGATCCTTGTCATTTTTTCGAGCGAATCAATAAATAATCTTCCAAATGAAAATTTTAAGAATTTCTGAAATAATTTTTTGAAATTTAGTGTTTTTCTGATAAATTCGGTTCTTTCTTTAGTCTGGAATTTTTTTATTTGAATCTTTTTAGTCTTTCGATAACGCCTGCTACGCCGATTAAATATAATAATTTTTCTGCATTTAGAAGTGGGGCCTTTTATTTTTCTGTATTCTGCAGGTTAAAAAGAATAAATTAAAATACATAAAATACTTCTTGTATAGTTTTAACAAAATGCACTAAGAAGTAAAAACTAAGTTTCTAATTTTCGTTAATATTTATAATCATGTGAAAAAAGTTCTTTATTTTATTACTGAAAGTTTTTCCTTCATATTTTATTTAATAATAATGCAATAAATGTATTATTGTTTAATAATCAAGGTTGACTATAACGAAATCATATGTCCCCTTAAGCACAAAAAAGGAGAAAGATTCTGATTATGAATAATAACAGTAGACTTGAGAACTTCTTCAGAATCTTAGTAATTTGTCTACTTAATTGGAAAGTCAGGAAGAAAACCTTTATAAAAGTTCTTTTCTTGAATCAGTGCAACGTCAGCGTCATTAGCCTTCATATATAAAATAAGTCGCTGAGTAGCACATTTTGACTTGTGTAAAATTTGTACAAAAGATATACGGATATGGAGAAGTGTGGTGGATACTCATTGTTTAACCATTGGCAATGTGATTGTTGTCCAGCCACACTAGATATCCAGATAATTACACCCCACAGTACTTATAGGAGACCCTACCAGGCGTTGCTTGCAATGCTTTGTATTTTGCCACACTGCGGGCAGTGCTTTTCTTTTTCCCTTAAATATACATTGATGTTTTTACAGTTGGTGCCTTTCGCACTTGCATGCTATGGAGGACAGCTCCAGGTCTGCTTACATAGAATGTTTTAAATAAATAGCTTTGTTATATTATTCTAGGCCGTGTTGCGTAGCTCAGTCCCTCTTGTGGACAGGAAGTTCGTTATAATTATGATTTTTTTTCGGAAATGGTTGTTCTTTGGTAGCGTATCTAATAAAGGGAGTCACTTCACTCTCTGAATTCGGGACTTTTAGATGATATTCAGCTGTTGAGGGGGCATTTGAATAAATAATGTTCGGGACTGCCTCTTTCTCCACATGCACACTGATCTGAAGTTGCTAATTTCCTTGCATAAAAGTGCGTTGGAAAAGGGCCATTCCCTGATAAGTACCACGTTATTTCTCGTTATTAAACTGGGTGCTGTGCCTACTTTTGGGAACAACTGTTAAGTCCTTCTTCTTTGTTCGGCGTTGTCCCACCAGTCCTGCCATTCAGCTTTAGATTTGTTGCTTATGATTTTTTTAAGGTGCGAGCCAGGCATTTTGTTGATCTAGGTGGAACTTCTGTTCTGTTGTTGAATTGGGACCTAGGGAGATTTTGATTGCGCTGCCTTTACCTTCCTCTAGGCCGGAACCGTCTGTATAGAGTCGGGGGATTTCTTTTTCGCTTACTTCTTTTTTCATGCTTATGATATTATTTTTCTTTCCTGGGATGTGCCGGTGTCCCGTAATTCTCTGCTAAAAGTTCTAATGATTTGTAATGGCTCTTCTTGCGTAGTTGTAGTACTGTTGTCTTATAGGATTCTTATTCAGTGCGTATAAAAAGTGGTGTGCTGTTAGGATTTAAAAGTGTGCGGCATTTGATGTTGTTCTGTAGCTTCTTGTGTAGTTAAGAAGGAAGGGTTGCTGGATTGTATGAAGCGGTTTTTTTTTTTTTTTTTTTTTTTTTTTTTTTTTCCCATTTCTTCTGCTCATATGGCTGCCTCGTATAGGGCAATCTTCTCGATTACTGTATGGTAGATGAGGTTTTGGATTGGCCTGCTCATTCCCCATCCTATTCCGTTCATTCGCTTTAGATTTGTATAAAAGAGATAGATGAACTGACGGACTTGGCCATAATAAATTTTTGAGGCCGTAATACTCATCATAAAAATATGGCAATGGCAATTCCAGAAAATGGCTTATAATTTACAACTTTCTTAGTTGCATTTTTTTTATTGAATCTTATGCAATTAACACACACTTGCACTTCTCAATGCTCACCAAAGCAGCAATAACAAGCCAAGGAATTTGTGCAATCAAGACTTCTGTGATAACCTAAACATTTATAAAACGCCGGCTTTAAACAACAAAATCTTCAACTTTACACATATTCCACATCACTTTAATACGCCTTAAATTTAATGTACACTTATGCGCAACAGGAACGCATTTTACGCTTAAAGAAATTAACGAAGTATCTTTACAGACACGGTTTTTGAATTTATTCTGAGCAATTGATTAGGTAAATTTGATCTTTTCTTCAGATGAATTTACGCAGCGATTTATCCAAACTTTTATTTTTCCTTAAGATTTACTTAGTTCTCTAACTTTTCTGTGCAATTTTTAACACTGCTATTGTATTTACTGAATTTATCTTCTGACAAATATTTTTTATTTAAGGTTTTATGGCGCAGAAATCGTGAGTGCTCTGAAATTTCTACATAAAAGAGGCATTGTATATAGGTAAGGTATCATAGTTTATTGAAAATATAACATTTTATGAAGTGATTTCAATTATTATTTAAGAATCTAAACAATAAAAATGCAAAAAATGTATTAATATGCAAAAACAATTTCGTAATAGTGTTATTTATATTGTCAAACTATTACATTGTTTTAACACTAATATTTTTACTACAGCGATAGTACATTTTTATTCATTAAGTATTTTCCGCTTTCTTTCCATAATGTTATTAAAGTGTGAAGTAGAAAATTATGTCATTAAAACTAAAGAATTGTCACCTTAGAGAAACTTGGACACACTTATGTTTTCAGAGACATCAAACTGGATAACGTGATGCTGGATGAACAAGGTCACGTTCGTCTGGTGGATTTTGGGATGTGCCAGTGTCGTATATATAAAGAGGAATGTATGCCGTTCAATTTCTGCGGCACCCCTCAGTACATTTGTCCTGAAGTATGTTTCCATGAATATCTACTGTCCATTATGCATTAGCTGGCCTGATTTCGTTACTACTAACTCCATATTTTGTGTGTCTTATTTAATAATATATATATAGGGAACTAGAAATATTTAGAGTCTAGCTGCGTACCTCAATTTTCCTATTTTAATCGCTCAGTAATCAAAAGCAAAATACTTTTAAAGCTCTGAAGGATACTGTTCTGAAGTTCCGAGAGCTATTACACACCTTTTTTCTTTATTTTATAAGCCATAATTCTTTTTTATTTATTAAAGATTTGCTTTTTCTTTTAAGAGACTAGTAAGGTTTCTTATATTTAGCATTATATTCATCCTTAATTGTTGCATATTTTAATTGCAACAGTTCTATGCCATACCTTGTCTCATACTCCTGAACCTGAGTTTCAGAACCTTAACCTCAGTTTTGTTTGCAATACAGTTTGTTTTTGGTTTTCCAGCATGAACTCTTTGTGTTTACATTGCATGCTCTGAAATCTGAAATTCATTTATAAAGAAGCATGGATGTTGAAACAGCATGCAACATTATATTTAAATTTATCATAAATAAAGGAATTTTTTATATTATTTTGAAGCATATTAATGATATGAGTTTCATGGTTTTCATGTCTTAGAAATGTTCTTTAATAGTGGGATAGTTAAAACAATTGTATAACATATTTTGATCCCATTTTAAAGCATGTTTCTTACTGCTGTATGTCATGTCTCTGTCATGATTTGCTTGGAAATCATTCTTTTGATGCATTTTGCATGTTGTTATCATACCTTAATGTAACCCACTTCTTGACACTTTGCATGTTCCTTAGAGATATCAAATTGGACAACATCTTGTTTGATAAAGAAGGACACATACATCTTGTAGATTTTGGCATGTGCAAAACTGGCATGTTTGAAAATAAGAGAACGTCTACCTTCTGTGGAACACCTGACTACATTCCACCAGAGGTGGGTAGGTGGGTAGGCATAAATTTAGTAAATGATGGTAATGCATTGAACAAAAAACAGCTTTTAGATTTTACAATGTAATTTTTTTAATACAGTCAAAAGTCGTTAATCTGGACTCGTCGGGACTTCGGCGATTCCGGATTATCGATTTTTCCGGATTATAGATCATCAGTTTAAATCTCGTAAGATGGCATGCACAAATTCTAAAATTAAAAATATGAAACTGTAATTTATGAAATAAAGAACAATTATGATCTAAAGGGTATCAAAATTTACAAAAAAAAGAAGCTTAATATTTATTTGTTTACTTTATTAAACATTTCTTTCAATGTAAGTTATTTCGTTTTATGTGATAATACTTTCTCTTTAATTCTATAAACAGACATAATTTCTTGTTCAGTTACAAGACCCGTAATTGCTGTGCCGAGAATACCGACTAACTTGTCAATCGAAATTTTTTCGTTTTCACTAACCTCTCTGTCACCTTCTTCATGTCTTTATCCATTTTTTGCAGCAATTCCACTTTTTGTTTGACGGACATCGAGACATACTTTCGTTTTGTAGATCCTTTGGGAGCTCCAGAATCGGAAATTGACATAATCGAAAGTTCAAGTTTACTTTTATAAAATTGCTCTTACAGTCTGCAAAAAATAATAAGCCGCATCCAATTCGAAGATTAAGGAACAACGCAATCATCAACATTAACTGAAATAGATAATTATATAATTTTAGCTTGCACCGTCCGTTATACATTAAACGCGCACGCGTAAACGCCTATGCGCATGTGTCAACGCGGCGCATGCGCAGAAAGTTTTTAGCTTTGAGGTCCGGATTATGGGTGTCTGAATTAACGACTTTTGACTGTATAGCTGTAATTATATGTAAATGTTGCTTTGTGATTTTTTTTCTTCATAATTGTATACAGAAATAGAATTTAACAGTCCAGAAAATTAATTTTTACGAACCTGAAATTCAGCATTAGTAAATTCTCCAAGCTAAGCTTGAATGTAATTTAGATTGCACGATTAAATTAACATCTGTGAGATTTGATTAACTTTTTTTTAAATAATTTTTTATCATATTATATGAAACTTGTAAAAGTCGCGTGTTGTATTACATATTTTTTCTTAGCTTCTGAAAGTTTAAAAATTATCTGCTTAACATCGGTCAGTTTTTCATTTTAATTTTTCATAATAATTTTCTCTGTGTTCAGATAATCCTTGGACAGAAGTATAATCAATCTGTAGACTGGTGGTCTTTTGGAGTCCTTTTGTATGAGATGATAACTGGGAGGTCTCCTTTTTATGGTACTGATGAAGATGAGTTATTTTGGAGTATATGTAATGAGGAGCCACCCTACCCAAGGTATCTTTCAAAAGAAGCCAGGCATATTCTTGGTTTGGTAAGTTATATTCTTATAAAGTCCAATTTGTTGTTTGAATTGAGGGAATATAGTTTTATAACTATGTCTATTCAATGCAATTTAAATTCTTAGTAGCAGAAGCTAAATCCATTTTAAGAACTTGTATTTTTCATTCTTTAATTTTTGGAAATTCTTAATTTTGGATATTTCTCTTCACTGAAAATGATTCGCTATCTGTATAAATTGTGTTCTGTATATATAAATTAACTATATCCATATAATAGTAGTTTCAGTAGTCTCTAATTCATAATTTAATTATATAAGCAAATGCTGTAATTAAAAGTATAGCGTCTTATTTGTCGTAAAAATGTATTCATAACTTCCTTAAATACAAATTTTTGTTAAGAAAACTGTCATTTTCAAATATGGAAAATTTAAAGATATTGTTATATAATCATTTTTTTCAGGTTAAATACTTCCTGTCACTTTCAAAAAGATGCAGCGTGTGTGAGCTATATTTGACTTCTGTCTCAGTTATCAAACATTATTTGTAGAAAGTGACTTGAAACAACATTTCGAAACATGTCACGAATATGCCCAAATATGAATAAAATCTTATTTAAATTGATAAAAACTAATAAAAAATATATTGTACGAATTTTTATTCCCAGTGACTGAATCTGAAGTGTACATTACTGGTTCTCAAGTTCAGATTTCTTGGTAAGAGAGTATAAAATGAAGAGAAGTAAGAGGTATAAATCGCATTTGATAAGAGGTATAAATCACATTTAATAAATTTTTAGATACTAAATAATAATTCAAATGATATACAGCTTGAAAAAAAAATGTCAAAATAATGTAGGTATTTATTCGAAGAGACCTCTTTTATTTTGGTATATTTTTGTTCTAAAATTTGTTAGGTTCTTATAATCGGGTACTTTAATAAAAGAAATTCAAGAATAAGAATGAAGTCATTCTGTGTAAAATGATTAGTGCTGACTATTAACTGAACTACACAGGTGATTTCTGTATAAACTGAACTGCATTTTAATATATATCATATCTATTTTATTCTTCTTTTACATCTGACATCATCTGAGCTTTATGTATATCTCATTTTAGCATTCCTCTTTGTATTAATTTTTATTTATCTTATTTTAACTCTATACACTAGCTTTAAAATACTGTTCAGAAAGATTTCACATCTGTCTGGGGCATATAACGTTTCAGATTTTGCACGAAAACAAATGTGCTACTTCTCTTCCTAAAATGTATAGGATTATTTTTCGAGTAACTATGGTAATAGTTTAAAAGGAGACATATTCTGACAAAATTTGAACTGTTCTTTTTTTTTTAATAAAAGAAATGTAATTAAAAATTGCCAATAGCGTTATACTGAACTGACTTTTTTAAATTGCAAATAGCATTTTACTAATTATATTTTTCAGCAATTTTACATGTGTTTAATATTAATCTTCAAGTCACTATATTTTAATGTTTACATTAATATAAGAAAGGACAAGTTAGCATCAAACAAAAGAAGAGTTGAGCTTATTAACAACAAATCAATCACACACTGGCACACACTAAGGCATGTGAAACCACTTGTTTAAGAAATTTTTCATTATTCCATATTTTCAAAATTTCTCTCAGATTTTCCCTATAAAATATTTTTAAATCTGCCATGAAAATGTACCCAACAGGATTTATTTTCAGAAATTATTTTCAGAAATTTCTTTAAATGACTATTTTAAACTCAAAATTCTTTAACTTGGTATTTAAGAGCAAAAAGGTGAAAAATGTGGCAAGTCTTGTTAGGGTTTAAGATATTTATTGCAATTTCAAACATCAAAACTTAATCCAGTTTGCTATTTCAAGAAAGTATTTTGTAAAGCAAGTTGTTTTAATGAAGATTTTTCATCTATGCATTTTTTCAGCATTTTTCAGAACTCTAGAACAAACGTGAACGTCTAGAAATGTGAACTTCAGTATCTATCATTCATAATGAAATTTTTATTATTTTATCATTGTGATCCATTTTTCTTTTCTTCATTAGTTTAAAAAATGAGTTTTCCTATAATATTGAATAGTCAATACAAATATGTACTAATAACAACTAAAATAGATCTGTAGTTCTGATTTACTTTGAGAATTAGCAAGCTATGTTATGTTTCGTTACATTTTTATGATTTATATTTCATTACTTTTAAAGGTATATCAGTGTAATCTCTATCTTTTTGACATTCTCAAAGAGAAAATACGTTGACTTTTTTTGGTATTCCCACAGGTGTAATGGCCATCTCACTTTTATTAATTTTCAAACGAATTCAAAAATAATAATTTCAATAGCAATAATTATCTAAGTATATACTACAATGTGCCTCTGAATCTAATTTAAAGTATTAAAAAGAAATACATTTTAAAATTAAAGACAATAAATATAGTGTACAAAAGCTCATATTTAATAGCTTTTTTATTTGAAGATAAATTTCTCTAAATATGAACCTTTTTTAAATGTGTACTTTACGTAACCTGGTTTATTGTATTTAATTGATAATCACAGCATGCCAGTTTTTAAAATTAAAGTTTTTAAACAAATTAATTTTTAAACTAAATTTAATGTCCTACAATATTACTTCAGTTATGTATTAAAGTGAACTTAGGGCTAAGGAAAATACTGAAGAACAAAATTTTCAACATCAGTATAAGTAAATTTAATAATTATTCTCTAAGTTGCACAGTGTCAAATAAGCATAAGCTTTCCAATCACACTAAAATTTTCTTCAATAAGAATGAAGCTAAAATGCTTCATTTTCTTGAGTATTTGAATGCAAAATAAGATATGGAAAAAGGCAGATGCAAAAGTTTTGTAACTAAATATGATGTCCGTTGTATTTACTGTTGCCTATTCAGGAAAGAAGAAATGGACAGCATTTTGACTTATTTAAAGATGACTTAGACTAATAGCGAGATTTAAAGTAGAATTTTTAATGAAAGCAAGAAATATTCTTTATTTTTCCTAAATCCATGCCTATTTAAGGAATGTTTTGTGATAACTAAAATTTGTTGGTATGCATTTAATCACAAATATCAGGTATTTTTTATATATTATTTTATTTTTAAAAAAAAATTTGACTTGCAGTTTAATTTTATTTTTACTAGTAATTTTTTTTTTCAAAATTTACAGCTTTTGGTGAAGTCTCCTTCTAAGAGATTAGGTATGCCATCATGTCCTGCTGGAGACATTAAAGATCATGCTTTCTTTAGTACAATAAACTGGGATAAATTGGAGAAGAAACAAATTCCACCTCCTTTCAAGCCCAAAGTGGTAATTATCATTTAGATAATTTTAAGCCACTTAACATTACTCACTGGCCTCTATGTGATGTATTTGAGTTCTCCTCACCCTTTTTAATTTTTTATAACTTTTAGTTTATTCTATCATTAAACTCTGTTAAAAATATCTGCTTTATAATATTTCCTTGAGATTTGCTGTGAAATTGAAGTCATCAAAGGCATATTTTTTCTTTCAGACTCGCAGTTTTTGTTTTTTTTTTTTTAAATCGTTACCTTCTATAACATAAATTGAACATTTCATAATTTTTATTTTCATGATTGCACTTAAGTAAATGGGAATTCTTTTTAAATTTTTGAAATATGCATTGTTTTATATTGATAAAAGTTCAAAATTTTTAAAGGAGCTTAATTTTAAATTTTTTGTTAGTATTATTATAACATTTCTTATGACTTCACAATTTTTTATGAATGTTTTAGTTTTAAAGAAAAATTTTACAACTTTCTGAAATTTCTTTTCTGTTCCAGTTAAATGCATGTGATACCAGCAATTTTGACCATAATTTTACTATGGACTCTGCCACTTTAAGTCCTGTTGACTCTGAAATACTGGCATCGATGGACCAGGAACAGTTTAAAGGCTTTAGTTATACGAATCCTCATATTACTGGTTGACATTTTTCTAGTCATCTAATAATATAACTTATTATGGATATTTAAATCAGTTCAGTGCTTGGTGGAAAAGTCAGTGCATAAGAGATTTTCATAATACTCATTATGACACGTATTTAGATGTTATAGTACAAACGTCTTGCAGTCAATGACCATCGGTGTGTGAATTCTTCCTTCCTTCAGAAATGGCAGGAAGTAAAAAGGCAAATGAAATTTAGGAATAATTTTATAAAATGTCCGTGAGGAATGGTATATTTGATATATTCTTTCACATTTATCTGTTTGTAACTATCAGCATGTACAAAACTATTTCATTGCCAAAACATATGAAATAAAGTTATCATTAAGAAGTATTCACCTCTCATTTTTTAGTTACTATCATTCAGTGCTTATGCCTTCATATTGTTAAAACTGTTATTATTATTTATTAATTTTAATCTATATACAATGTCCTTTGCACTAGGATAAAAAAATTTTCAAGATTTTCTTTCTCATGTACTCCTTAATCAGACTTTAATACAGAGTACCCTAACCTCCCCTTTCAGAACTAAGACCCCTTCTGTCACCCTCTACAAAATTCCCGCAATATGTCATACTACTGTATTATTTCATCATAAAATTAATATAGATTGTGAAAAATAAGTTCAGAAAAATATATACTGAAACAAAGATTATTATATTATTTCAAATAAATGCTGTTATAATACATGTTTTTAACAAAAATATAGTGTTATTAATGTACCGCAATTATTCTGTATATTAGTTTTTCTGAAACGAAAATGAAAACAAAGAGTGAGTTCCTGAATTTATTGATTATTGATGAAATCTAGGCTTATAGAAAATGCTAACCATTCTTGAAATAGTGTTGTACCACAATAAAATATTAGAACTATGATTATTTTAAAAGGAATTAATATACAACTTCGTATGTACTAAATGTAAAACAAAAAGGTTTATTAATTTTTCCTTGTAATCTGAGTGCTTGGTTTCTAAATGATACAGTAATGAAAATTTCATAATTTCAATTGATGAAACATATTTTTATAATTATACAAACATGACTGCTTCAGTCATCTTTTATGCATAAAAGTCCATACTAAACATTCATTAAAATACATTTTCTTCTTTGAAAGAACTACTCTTTAGAATTTTTATACTACCTGTTAGCCTATCTCTTGCCAAAATAACCACTTTATCCTGGCTTTCAGCTGATTCTCTGGAAATGTTTTATGCAAATGTCGAATCAGAGTCAATATCCATGATCGTTTTAGCTCTTTGCAAAAGTCTATTAACTAGTTATTCATTTTTGTTTACACAAACTTTACAATTAACAGTTCTAAAAGAACATAATTGGTGTAAAATAACACTTCACCATGAACAAATTTTAATGTAATATAAGGTCAGGAAAGAAATTTGTGCAATTAATTCTTGACATTGATGATTCCTTCAAAGTCAAAATATTAGTTGCTATTCGTTTTGCATAATGTGAAATGACAAAGTTTCCACTTTGCACCACAAGGGGGTAATTACATGTTACAGGTAATTAATCGAACAATATGAATAGTGGGAACACAACTAGTTACAACAAGTTACATAGCTCTTATACATATTTAGATCAGTGACGATCACATTGTAATTATTTGCAACTGCTTTCCCTTTTATTCAAGGTAAATTCAAGCTTTTTTAACATTTTTCATCAGTATTTTTAACACTTTTTTTGTTTTCTGCAATTATTGTAAATGTACCATAGATTGGTAATCACTGCACTAAAAGAAATATCTATTTTTTAATGCTTAATTTTAATGAAATGTTATTCTTGAGAAACTGAAAGGGAATTGGAATGTTATTGAAATAATTTTGAATCTTAACTCCAGTCTTTAAATAAAGATTTGCAATTTTTCTTCATTTGTTAACAATGCTAACCAATGTAGTAAACTTTCTGTAATAAAGTATCTCTGTAGTAATGTAAAACTCAAACTCATGACACAAATATATTTATCTTTCTATGTTTGTGCATATCTATAGATGTATGCACACATACTAAGCATTAAATGTGAATATGTGCATAGTTAGTGTGATATTAAATGCAAGTTTGAAAGTGTTATCATATACAAAAATTTCATTTGCCACCAGAATAATATTCCCAGAATCTTTGTTTATAACTTTTATGAAATGTTGTTGCTGTAAAATATCCTTTTTATAGCTATAAATATTAATGGGAAAGTAATTCACAAAATAAGATGTAGCAAAGTAAAATAGTAGATGGATAAATATAGCAGATTAAGATTCTAGCCCATAATGTACATATTAGGAAGTAGAAGAGTGGAAACTGTAATCACTGTTCAATAACTTGTAGCTAAGAACGTATGTAGTAGCAACTGCATTCTCTGTGAAAGGAATTTTTTTTTTTTTTCTTTTATAAGGGTAAAAAAGAAAAGCAACAGAATAAGCTCAGTTCAAGCTCATTTATTTCAACATTTGATTTATATTTTCAGAAAAGTGTTTTTTATTTTTTTGTTTACTTTTTTAAACTTTTATGTTAAAAAGTTAATTCTTTTTACATATACACAGCTGTGAAATTCTTAAGGCCTTAGGGGAAAAACTGCAATTAAAATCCCATGAAAAAAATGCTACCTGCTGAATGACAGTGTAGGTTATTAAGCACAACTACTTAGCAACTTATTAATATAATCACAATATCCATTATCTTTGAAGAAAAAAGCTTTAAAAAGTGTGTGTTTGAGTATTAAATCTTGCAAAAATAGTTCCATTTTTAAGATAGCCATTTATATTGGAAGATTCCATTAAATATATAATGCAAAAGTAAATCATTGTTTTTTGGGGAGGGCAAAACAATTCACTTGATTAGAAGCTATTAGTCTATACATTGGGAAAATATAATTATGTAATCAAATAACAATTCAAGGAGATATTGAAAAGCGCAATTTTAGAAAATAATTTGAAGTTACTTTTACAGTGGCACACACTTTACCATAGAATGTAAAGCAAATGTTACTAATAAAAACCATTTTGCTATTGATCTAAAATTTGAAAAAAGAATTCAGCTTTTTTCACATTGTGATCATATTTTATTAAAATGCAGTTACCTATAAATAAAATAGCTGCTCTAACTAGAAAGGAGGTTTAAACTGATTGAATATTCTGACACTAAAGTTTAAGCCGTTGAAAAGTTTCTATACATATCCTAAACAGAGAATTATAACTGAAAATTTTAAGTGAGTAAATTAATATTGTTTAAAATTAACGAAACACAACTTTATAAGCATGTATTTCAATATTTTTATTTCAAAACGTCACATATATCTTATAAGTCTATAGGGAATGTTTATTTACGAGATTAAAGCAAAGTAAACATTTTAAGGGGGGGGAATCTGGGTGTAACTTGGAGTGAAATGTTAAAATTATTCGTTCATATTTCTAGAGCTAATTCATCAATTATTTCTGAACTATTAGAATTTATTATTTAAAATTTCTTTTACTGTATACAACAATACTGTGACAATCAACATTTCCTTTGTTAGTAAATTTACACATTTTATATCCTTTTTAAAACAAATTTCCTCTTCATGAATTAAGTGGGATTACTTAAAAAATAAAGCTTATAATATGGAAATAAAGCATTAAATTCGAAGATTAGAAAGAAGATAAGAGAATTCTGTTATTCTTTAAAAAATAATTTAGTCTCTGCATTTATTAATTTTAGGCAAAACAAGTTGACAGATAGCAAAGTAAGAACCATGGACTCCAGTATTTTTCATTTCTGTCCGAGTTCACGAGTTCCTTCGAGCTCAGACTTCAGGATTCGCTTGAATATGCAACTTACGAGTATTCAAAACTTTTTAGTGGTTATATTAATTCGAGGGTTAATAAATAATGACTTGTAAAAAACATTAAATTTATTTGTAGTTGAAATTATATTTGAAGTTGGAGATTCTGTCTATTTGTCTCATACAGTGGAAACTCGGTTAAAAGATTTAATTCATTCCTTGAAGGCATTTCTTCACCTAAAACAATTTGCCTCATAGGAATTAATGTAAAATGGATTAATTCCTTCCTTGGATCACAAATAATTGCTTATTTAAATTTTACAACAGTACTTTGTGCATAAGTCCATAATGCAAAACCAATGAAAAAAACATTAAATATAGAAAGAAAAAAAAAAAAAAAAAAAAAAAAGAAAAGAAAAGATCGGTATTAAACAGATAAAATGGGAAAAAAAGCTAATTTTTATGTGTCTGTACAAAGGAGATAGCTTATGTGAAAAATATGAGACATGTTATCGTTTTGATGAGATATCTCCTTCCATAAAAACATCAGGTAACTGTCTTTTCTTTGTCTTCAAGCACCATTCGACTCTGTTTGAAATTCAATGAGCCTTCCTTTCACTCAAAATTTATCCAAATTGATTTTCTGTACCCATTTCTTAAACTGTTTCTAAAATAAGACTTGACATCGTGAGTGAAACTTTTTTTTTTTCTAAAATGCGATTGCTTTATAAGGGGAACAAATCTGTGTATTGTGCTGGAATACGAATAGCGAAAGATTAAGATATTCTCTTCAGTGTTATTTAACTGCTGCATATGTTTTCATTTTGATTCCATATAATTTGTTTTTAATTATAAGCGAAAGACAAATAATTAAATACTGAACACTATTTTGAGTATAACAAAAGAATTTTAAGAAACAACCTGATATAATTGCATAAATAATTAAAAATATTTAATTTGAATACAGGCTGAATTGAAATTAAGATGTAGGCCAAGTTTATTATTATTGTGCATTTATGTGAAAGAAATGTATTTTAATTATTCCATTTTTAATGTATGGAGGGAAGAACAGGGCGTGAAAATCGAAGATGATTTGCTATAGCAAATAAACACGCCTGGATAAATGTTATATAGAAATCTTAGGAGTGTAAGGGATTGTAAGAGTGCTATTAGATAATACTGAAAATAAATGCACTTCTGCTGAAATCTGAAGGAAATCAGTATAAGTAAGTGACTTTAAAAGAATGTGATAAGTCTGTTTAAAAGTATAAGGATGTGATATTAAGAAATTTGTAGAATTTTAGGGTCATTAAATATCAATTTGTAGATTTAAATCTTTTTATACATAGTTTTGTTTGAGTTACGTAATTTAAACTGAAAATCACGATCATATATTTCTAATGGAATGTCAAACTTCATTTGTATTAAAAAAAATGCATTTTTTGATCATGTTATTATCATGGTTTTAGCAGTTATGCCTTCATGTGTTCTTCTATTCAACAAGATTTATTTAATGCAGACAATAAAAACAAAAATATTGAAAAATACCTTGTTTTACAACATTT